AGTATACCACTAAACTTGTTCTACTTTGGCCAAGCTAGAGGCTACCAATGCTTTTAGTTTCCAAATGACTCTAACAGTAAATAAGAAAGAAATATTTGATAGTCGTGGGTTTAGCTCTTTGTTGGCGTCTACTCATAACGATTTGATTGGTGTAACCATTGGGAGAGTAGACTTATCTTTATTTAGTATTCTTTTGATGTGGTTCAGATTCTGATAACAACGAATAGAGGGATGTGTGTAAGTGCCATATCAAAGTGGCAAAATTTGGCAAATGTGAGGAGTGGGATCACGCATCAAAGATACGAGGATTAAATGATATCACGGATACAAGGCCAGATAACACAATTAAGATACTTGCCAGGTACATAGCTCTACAGGTATCTGGGAAAATGAGTGAGTTTTATTTTAGTATTTTATTATTTATTTAATTTAATTTTTTCCCAGTTATAAATATTGACACCAGAAGTCATTTTAGCCTAAAGATATTTGAACAGTTTTTATTAAAACGTTTAAAATTTAAAAGTCATAGCAATGTATTACACAATATTATAGTTGAAATTAGTTACAGAAAAGGAGACAAACTTTTAAATGAAAGGAATTTTCAGAATATAATTTATTTATTTCTTAAAATCGTTGTCGAACTATGAAAAAAGTGCTAGCAAGAGAGATAACTTCTTCAACACCGTTCACGATGAGAAAATATCATTGTCTCCTTTGGTATTATGATATTACTTACTCGCATTATTCTTTGGTTTTGTTGTCGTATTTCTGAGTTTTTTGCTGGCTGAACAATAAACTATTAAAATTTATGAAAGTAGCCGTCACAACTTCATGGGTTATAGTTCTAGTTTTATAAATGACTTAATAAATTACATTTTTGGAGACTCTCTACCCCATTCACGTAACAATTGATTTTGGGGTGAGCTGACACCATTGTCGAGTCGACTGCACGCCACATTTAGCATAGCCTAATATGACACCATTGTCGAGTCGACTGCACGCCACGTTTAGCATAGACTAATCTGACACAATTGTCTAGTCGTCTGCACGCCACGTTTAGCATAGCCTAATCTGACACCATTGTCAAGTCGACTACTCTCCTTTTTACTTTTAATGACAATAATGAAAAAATCGGAAGAGATTGAAACGAAATTTTCAAAGAGCTTTCAAATGCAACAGTTAAGGCGCAACACTGGCCATGTTTGCGTCTCTTAACTTTGGCCTTCCATCCCCCAGTGCATGATAACGTTATAAAGTGGCCCTTGCAACCACGAAAAAAATATTAATAAAGAAAAATAATTCATTTCTTTAATAAATTAATTAGAATGAAAGTCACAAAGACATTTTTTAAGCAACTTTGCCCCCCCCCTCCTTTTTGTCCACAACTGCCAAACTTTCAATGACATCCTATTTAATTATATCAATATTTTTTTACACCCCCAGCTCCCCCCTCCAAAAAAAAAGAAGAAATTAAATAAATAAATAATCAATATGGAATTATATTATAAATAAATATATTATACTTTGTGCTGAACTTATTTATGACACAAAAGTGTAGGAAAAACATTTCATGACATCTGTAGCTTGTTAATCAACAAGTTAAAAACGTTTTGACACTTACGTTTTTTTTTTTATGCAGAATCAATTGAAACGTTGTTAAATGATAGATATCATTGTTTGTGGTATAACTGATTACTGCCAGTAAAGCTGACAATTATTGCATAGTTTCTAGCTGCCAACATCTTATCAAAGTGTAGCCAGGTTTGCTCTATGGTAACAATGGCGAGCATGGACATCATTTATTTATTTATTTATTTAGGAATTTTTTTACATAACGCTTACCTTAAAGCTCTAAGCGCTTTACAATTATTAAAAACCATGTAAACAAAGTAAAAAAATAAAGGAGACACTAGGATAGTAGCTACTATACTATAGAAACAATTAAAATGGCTATAAAACGAGGACATTTAGGTGGGGCAGGGGGTCATTTGCCCCAACCCCCTAGTTTGTAGGTTTTGTTTAAATTGCTATGTATTGTGGCGCCTCCAGAAATAAACGACTTAAAAGAAACGGAACAAGTTTTATTTAGCCCCCCCTCCCCCCAACCCCTGAATAAAACATGAAATGACGCCCCTATTGGGCATAGTCTATAGTAGCTGATTTATCTTTTTTCATCTTGCAGCCTCTGATCCTCGTCTAACCATTCAGCATTTAGGACAGAAGCAAATATTCGGTGTGAATTGCCATAATCTCTATCTCATTGCAGCTACTCACATTGGTTCTTTTTGAATCCTTTTTTTGTTGTTGTTGAGGAGCAGGTTTTAATTTCTTACGCTTCAGAGGGCATTGTCGGTGCTGTTTAACATGCTTGCTCCAGAGGGCATTGTCGGTGCTGTTTAACATGCTTGCTCCAGAGGGCATTGTCGGTGCTGTTTAACATGCTTGCTCCAGAGGGCATTGTCGGTGCTGTTTAACATGCTTGCTCCAGAGGGCATTGTCGGTGCTGTTTAACATGCTTGCTCCAGAGGGCATTGTCGGTGCTGTTTAACATGCTTTTTCAACACGACTTAATTTTGCTTTTTTTCCAATATTTGAGGGCCCACGATCAATGCATTGATCATTTTGGCTCCTTGTTTGAATTCAGAGTTAGCCTTCTCTTAGATGAGTTACATTCCAAGGCTAACGAGTCCAATCCACCCGGGGTTCTTCGGAATTTGCTTCTTTCGGGGATTGAACTCCAGACCACCACTATTTGGAGTAAGTAAATTTAGACCACTCGGTCACACAGCATCCGTGTTGATTGAAAATAGATGTTGCAGATTTATTTTGCAAATCCATTCAAGCAGCGATGCAATCATTGTTACTCACTTTACTTTCCCCTAATTCTCAAAATAGCATATTCCTACTCTATCAATACCATTTATCTTGACTGCACCTGAAACTTGAACCTTGTCCTTGTTCCATACCTGCAATAGAATCCGCAGGTGAAGAGACGCCAACTTTTGACTTGTCTAGCACTAACAACGTGTACTAACATTCTGACCAGCTATCTGCAGTGGACACATAGACACATATAAAAAAAATATTATATTGTTAAAAGCCTAAACATTATAAGACTATTTTTTTTTTTTGCTTGCATCTGTAAGTCACAATGTGACGATGGAGTGGGCTTCGGAGGACGAAATTCACATGGCCTGGGATTATTCTTCAAGGATTATAAGCTGGTTCCCAACATCAAATCGCCTCTCTGCACACCGCTGGATAACCCAATGGACCATCATTGGATGATACGGCTTAGCACCAGTGACGTCACACGAGTTGTTGGAATGTTTCATTGTATCAATGTTATCCGCCTTTCGGGACTCGATCTCCGGGTTTGAATTCAGAGTTTCCTTCTCTTAGGTGAGTTGCCATGCAAGGTTAACGAGTCCCATCCACCCGGGAGGACTATTTACACTCTTTTAATCTTATAATTTTATTAAAAGTAATGTCTTAACCAGCCAATTTTTAAGATTAACATTTTAATAGCGAAAACAAGATTGTTGACGTCACCTAATCTAACTCCCCACTCCCTCCCCTTGTCAACAACTGGCAAATATTTTTAAACCCTCTCCCCTGCCCCTATTTTTTTGACGTAGTTAATGGACGACATCAAAGTCACTCATGTCCTGTAGCAGCACGCCCAATAGTATAAGTCACAATTGTCCTGTAGCAGCACCCCCACTTGTCTAAGTCAGACATATCCTGTAGCAGCCACCCACTAATGTAAGTCACAAATGTCCTGTAGCAGCCCGCCAATAATGTAAGTCACACATGTCTTGTAAAAGCACCCCCACTAGTGTAAGTCAAACATGTCTTGTGGCAGCACCCTCACTAATGTAAGTCACCAATGTCCTGTAGCAGAACCCCCACTAGTGTAAGTCAGACATGGCCAATAGCAGCATCCCTACTGGTGTAAGTCACAAATGTCCTGTAGCAGCACTCCAATTCGTGTAAATCACACATGTCTTGTAGCAGAACCCCCACTAATGTAAGTCACACATATCTTGTAGCAGCACCCCCACTAGTGTAAGTCACACATGTCTTGTAGCAGCACCCCCACTAATGTAAGTCACACATATCTTGTAGCAGCACCCCCACTAGTGTATGTCACACATGTCTTGTAGCAGCACCCCCACTAATGTAAGTAACACACATCTTGTAGCAGCACCCCTACTAGTGTAAGTCACACATGTCCTGTATCAGCATCCCCACTAATGTAAGTGACACATATCTTGTAGCAGCTCCCCCACTGATATCTGTCTCGGGCCGCCCTGAGCTAATTCGTTTTTTCTCCTCCCACAAACAAGTCATTTACTCTGACACACGTTTATTGATCGTCTGTTGATTCTAATCAAGTTAAATAATCCGTGTGTGCTTTATAGCAGGTGTGACAGTGGTTCTCAAAGTTGGAACAATCGTACCCCAACATCAGAAAATACGGACCATTTTTAAATCGGGCGTTTTTTTTACGAAGTGGTCACTTGTTATTTATGTGTCCCACTAAACTGCACTTTGAACCTCTTCCAGCAAATCGCATTGCCACGGTATTCGATCTAAACTTTTTTTCAGAAAATCTCACCATCATGAAATTTCAGTTAAACTTTACAGTCTTTCCTTTATAATTGCAATTTTTTTGTTTTTGATCCTATTCTATATAAGTGATTAAAAAAAAAATTTGACTCAATAAAGTATGTCCAATATAAAAGCTAGAAGAAGATGTCTTAATAGCTAGATTTAACGCACGAAATAAGGCAATATTTAACAAATTGAAGAAATACTGTTAACATTAGTTAAGAACGTTTAACAGAGTTCTTTTTTTTTTTAAGTTAAGCCGTTACCAACGACGCAATTCACGCAAACATGTGAGAACCTCTCTTGTGGGCTAGGTCATCTAAATTGAGATTTTAATACTTGTAGACGGTACGCTTATTTAAGAGCAGTCTGACATTTCAATTGGTATTGCTTCCATCGGCCAAAGACAATACACTTTTTTGGGGGGTTTTGAGTTTCAACTCACGCCCATAACTATGACAGTTTCGGTGAGTAAGGTAAGTGTATATGATCGTTGAAAGCTTTGATTGTCTATTAGACGGGTGAACTGAAATTTTTAGAATTTATTTACAAAGATCGTCTTAGAAAATCAATGAACAGTCTAGCAGAAGAACCTGGCTCAGATCTGACTGGCCCAGATCGGCCTGGCTCAGGACGGCCTGGATCAGGACGGCCTGGCTCAGTACGGCCCGGCGCTGTACGGCTTGCCTCAGTACGGCCTGGCTCAGTACTGCCTCCTTCAGTACGGCCTGGATCAGTACGGCCTCGCTAAGTACGGCCTGGCTAAGTACGGCCTGGCTAAGTACGGCCTGGCTAAGTACGGCCTGGCTAAGTACGGCCTGGCTCAGTACAGCCTGGCTCAGCACGGCCTGGCTCAGATCGGCCTGGCTTAGAACAGCTTGTTTCAGTTCTTCCCGACTCAGTACGGCCTCGCTCAGTGCGATCTGGCCCAGTACGGCCTGGCTCAGTGCGGTCTGGCTCAGTACGGCCTGGCTCAGTACGGCCTGGCTCAGATCGGCCTGGATGAGTGCGGCCTGCTCAGAAAGGCCTGGCTCACTACCGCTTGGCTCGGAACGGCCTGGCTAAGTACGGCCTGGCTCAACACGGCCTGTGTCAGTACGGCCGGGCTCAATACGGCCTGGCCAATAACAACCTGCAACACAAAACCCTGCCTCAGAACAACATGCCTCAGTTTGCTCTTTTGCTTCTGATGTCTTCTGAACGTACTTAATTTGTACTTTATTTTTAGTGCCACGTGGATTTTGAGTACAGTGTAAATTGCTACTCAATGTTGTGATGAGATGGAATAAACAGATCACATAAAATGAACTATTTGGTGTTCTAGTAATTTTGGATATACGAACAATATACCTGACACTATTCAGGGTTTTGATAAAGTGAGAGACAATATATAAAAAGATAGTCGGACGTAAGGATATATCAATTTTTGGACACCTGCCTCAGTAAAGCTTGACCAATAACAGCCTTTGACCAATCAAACTGTGATGAAATGAAAGACAGTATATATACAAAATACCTAGACGTAAGAATAGATCAATATATGACACCTTCCTCAGTACACCACGACTCATGGCATCCTTCAACCGAACAGCCTGACTAAGAATGGTCTTACATTGAACAGCCTGCCGCAGAACAAATTGCAATAGAGGGGTCGGTATCACTTCTGCCTGTCTTTAAACGGCCTGTCTTAGAACAGCCTGTCTAACAAAAGCCTGCCCCAGAACAGCCTACCTCACAACGGCATGCAAGAGAACAGCATGAATCAGAATGTCATTTACTAGAACAATCTGCCTAAAAAACGGATTGTCTCATAACAGCTTGCCACAAAACAGCCTTAGAACAGCCCGTCAAAGAAAAGCGTGTCATAGTACAGCCCGTTAAAGAACAGCCTATATCAGAATAGCTTCACACGTAACAGCCATCTCAGAACAGCTTGTCTCGCAAAATCCTAAATTAGAACGTCGTGCATCTGAAAAGTCTGCCTCGAAACAGACACCTCAGAACAGTCCGCCTCAGAAAAGACTGCCTCAGAACAGTCCGCCTCAGAAAAGACTGCCTCAGAACAGTCCGCCTCAGAAAAGACTGCCTCAGAACAGTAACCCATAGAAAAGCCTGGTTTATAGCAGCCTTCGAACGTGAACGGCCTGGCCCAGAATATATTATAAAAAGTGTTGGACTGCGATAAAGCTTTAAATAGATTAATAAGACACGAACACATTGTGTCAATAGAACAATATAAGTTCTGCTTTCATAATAATTATACATTATACACAATTGAACGTTTCGGTACATGCCTTCATCAGTACAAACAAACAAAAATCAAATAACTAAGTGTAAATTAAATTTACATAACATCAATAAACATATCCTACCTAAAACAGAAAAAAAATATAGGAGAGGGCGCTAAAACCAGACAAAAACAAAGTAAAGAGAAGTAGAAAGGAAGTGATTAAAACATAATTGGAAAAACTAAACAGGAAAAAGACATGGCAGCTAAGTAAAACTATGGATTTGGTTCAATCCATATGGAGACAACGTACCAAATCTAGTTATTAATTTGTTCTCCATATAGATTCTATATGCAGTGTTACTAGTATAGAGTATACCAGTAACTACAAGATCTCAGATACCATTATGGTTAGGGCTATTGAAATGTTTGGAGACCGGACAGAGAGCGTGTTGATTTATGTTATAGAGGTGCTCTCTGAAACGGTCCCCAAGGCGACGACCTGTCTCTCCTATGTATAGTTTGCCACACTTTTTGCAAATGATGGTGTAAATCACGTTGCGACTTGTGCAGGTAAAGCCATCTTTTATTCTGAATACTCCCAGAGGGAAAGTTATCATATCAGTTTCGATCACGTAAGGACATGAGTTATAACGGCTACGGTTGCAATTTTTGTGTCCATTTATGTGCTTTAATAGCAGGGAGGTGGCTTCTAACCAGCATGTCCCTAAGGCTCTTGTCCCGCTGGAAAGCGAAAAGAGGAGGTTTTCTAAAAATCTCATTTGTGACAGGGTCCGCCATCAGAATTGAGCGGTTTTTAAGAACCAGAGAGCGAGCTTTTAGGTTGTGGGGGGATGAAAAGTTAAGATAAATTTAGACCTATCGCTAGTGTCAGAATGAGTAGCTTTAAAAGAAGCCTGTCTAGTCATACCTTTAACTCGAGTGGCAGCTGCTTTTAAAATTTCTTCGGGGTATAATCTGCGTTGGAAAAAATCCAGCATTTCAGACATTCTTTCTCCAAAATGTTCATCATTACTACAGAGTCTTCTGAGTCTGAGCAACTGAGAAAATGGGCTGGAGTTTTTACACCATTGAGGATGGGATGATGAATATAGCAAGAAGCTATGACTGTCTACACCATTGAGGATGGGATGATGAATATAGCAAGAAGCTATGACTGTCTACACCATTGAGGATGGGATGATGAATATAGCAAGAAGCTATGACTGTCTACACCATTGAGGATGGGACGATGAATATAGCAAGAAGCTATGACTGTCTGTTTGTTTATAAAAAATGGACATAGATACTTTGATCTCATGAACATTTTGGAGAAAGAATGTCTGAAATGCTGGATTTTTTCCGACGCAGATTATACCCGAAGAAATTTTAAAATCAGGTGTCACTCGGGTTAAGGTATGACTAGACAGCTGTCACTCGGGTTAAAGGAATGACTAGACAGCTGTCACTCGGGTTAAAGGTATGACTAGACAGCTGTCACCCGGGTTAAAGGTATGACTAGACAGCTGTCACCCGGGTTAAAGGTATGACTAGACAGCTGTCACTCGGGTTAAAGGTATGACTAGACAGGCTTCTTTTAAAGCTACTCATTCTGACACTAGCGATAGGTCTAAATTTATCTTAACTTTTCATCCCCCCACAACCTAAAAGCTCGCTCTCTGGTTCTTAAAAACCGCTCAATTCTGATGGCGGACCCTGTCACAAATGAGATTTTTAGAAAACCTCCTCTTTTCGCTTTCCGGCGGGATGAGAGCCTTAGGGACAGGCTAGTTAGAAGCCACCTCCCTGCTATTAAAGCACACAAAGGCACAAAGAGTTGCAACCGTAGCCGTTGTAACTCATGTCCCTACGTGATCGAAACTGATATGATCACTTTCCCTCTGGGAGTATTCAGAATAAAAGATGGCTTTACCTGCACAAGTCGCAACGTGATTTATACCATCATTTGCAAAAAGTGCTGTAAACTATGCATAGGAGAGACAGGTCGTCGCCTTGGGGACCGTTTCAGAGAGCACCTCTATAACATAAATCAACACGCTCTCTGTCTGGTCTCCAAACATTTCAATAGCCCTAACCATAATGGTATCTCAGATATTGTAGTTACTGGTATACTCTATACTAGTAACACTGCAGATAGAATCTATATAGAGAACAAATTAATAACTAGATTTGGTACGTTGTCTCCATATGAATTGAACCAAATCCATAGTTTTACTTAGCTGCCATGTCTTTTTCCTGTTTGGTTTTTCCAACTATGTTAAAATCCCTTCCTTTCTACTTCTCTTTACTTTGTTTTTGTCTGGTTTTAGCTCCCTCTCCTATATTTTTTCTGTTTTAGGTAGGATATGTATATTGATGTTATGTAAATTTAATTTATACTTATTTAAATGTGTTTTGTTTGTTTGTACTGTTGAAGGCATGTGCCGAAACGTTAATTGTGTATGATGTATAATTATTATTAAAGCTAACTCATATTGTTCTATTGACACTATTTGTTCGTGTCTTATTAACCTGGTCCAGAATAGCCTGCAACAGAACCGCATACCTCAGAAAAGCCAGCCTCAGAACTGCATTTCTTCAGAGCAGCAGAACGGCCTGTCCCATAATAACCATCCTTAGAACGGCCCGTCTTATAATAGAAAGCTTCATAACGGCCTGCCTTAGAGCCATTACTCCACATTCATGAAGAGACAAATCGTGTAATTCGTCTAGGGTTGGAGAGTCTCTTTATATTACCGTAATATTTATCGTGAGGGAGTCAGTAAACTCCAGACAGGAACGTCTAGACGGTAAATAGTCAGATAGTATTCTCTACGTAGACGTAGACTTTCTGAAAATTGTAAAAAAAACAATCCAACTATCCCAATCAAGATCAGTGCGAGGAAGTGTTGGCATCACAAAGTTAATTGGTGACGTCAGTAACACAATCATAATGGGGATCAAGGATGGATTGCCACGGCTCGACACCACACGGGTGAATCAAAACTAGGTCAAACGTTTATAACAGATTCTGTTTTAAAAAAAAACAAAAAAACTATAAAACAGGATTCTTCTTCTTCTATATCTTAAGGGCCCACGATCAATTTATTGATCATTTTGGCTCCTATGCATGTAGATGGGATTTGCAATGTTTCTGTTACTTGTGTTGATGAGGAAATCATGCACTAGGGGTTTGAAGGTTGGAGGCAATAGACACAAATGTGTCTAGAGTTGTCGCCTCAACCGTTCCTTTGAAAGATTTTTCGAGTCCCAGATTGTCTTGGGCAGGAATGAGCAGCTCCTATACTGGCTTCTTGCTGGTAGTAGCCTGAATTGCCTGTCATTGCCTCGTCGCTGTCTATGGGGGAGAGGGACGAGTTTCTGTTTAATACTGGAACAGTGGACCAGCCCATTATTTATCTTGTACATCATGGAGAGCCTGGATTGTCGTCGTCGTTTCTCCAATGGTGACCAGCCTAGTGTTTCAAGCATGCTTCCAACACTAGAGGTATTCCTGTAGCGGTTTAGGACAAAGTGTGCTGCTCGTCGCTGGACCGCCTTACACCTGTCAAAGCTCTTCTGGGTAAATGGGTCCCAGACTGAAGATGCACAATCTAAAATCGGACGGATAAAGGCTTTATATGCTCTTTCTTTCACACTGGAGTTGCCAATCTTTAGATTTCGCCTTAAGAACCCTAGGGTCTTGTTTGCTTGGTTACATACATCGTTAATGTGCTCGTCCCAGCGGACCTCTCTTTGAATGGTAACACCCAGGTAGTTTACGGAGGAAACTGGCTCAAATATATGGTCCTGCAGTTCGTATTGGTAGTGTAAATGAGTACAACTTCTAGAGTGTGTCTGGCACTTGGCAGGGTGAAATTCCATGTCCCAGCTCATCTCCCACTCAGCTAACAGATTGAGATCCTGTCGTAGCTGGTCCTTTTCAGATCTTTTGGCGATCGTCCTATACACTGCTGTGTATATTTACAATATCCTCTTAATAAGGCTGTATAACACGCGCTATAGAACACTAAAATAAACGCGAGGACAGTTTCTATCACCTGCTCTAGAACAGCCACTACAGCAATCTCTAATAATAAAAATAAAGTTAATTTTTAAAAAAAACACTCTTCTTTGCGAAATAAGACATGAAACGCAATCAAATACAAAAACGCAACAATTCAAAAATCTACATACACGTCAAGTGACAATAGAAGATAATGTACATCAACTCACTCGAAAACAGGAGGTTGACCAATTGACCCAAGTAGGTGAGTGCGAAAAAGATGTGTTTTCAACTCAGTTTTGAGAGACTGCAGTGTCTGGCTGATTCTGACACCGACAGGAAGGACGTTCCAGATTATCGGGCCAGCAAAAGCGAGAGTGCGCCTTCCGTATGTCTCAAGCCGGACTCGCGGTATCGAGAGTTTATTACTTTCGGATGAACGGAGTGATCTTGTGGGCACACAAGTCGTTATGAGCGCTTTGAGATAGGACGGCGCCAAGTCATGCAAGCTGCCGTTGCACAGAGTTGCAATTGGGTACTCTATGCGAGCCCGTACCGGCAGCCCATGCAACTCTCTCAGAAGTGCTTCACCATGGTCGAATTTACGTTTTCGCATAACAATGCGAGCCGGGTTATTCTGTGCTTATTTTTAATCCTACGAAGGAGCGTAGCCGGTGGACCCAGCATGAGAGCAATGGATTAGTCTACGCGTGATAGCAGTGAATTCAGACATCAGCCACTTTGATGCATCAAACGTTAAGAAAGATTTACTATGATTAATCCTGCGCTGCTCTAGAAAAATCGACTTTCAAAGCCTGTTAAATGTGAATCTCCATAGTCGGTCTTCTGTCAAAGTAGACACAAGGTTTCTCACAGTTTGAGCAATCTCAAACGGCCTCAATAATAGGGTTACCTATCATAATAATCCTCTTGTTGACTCGAATATATTCCATCAATTGTACCATAAGCTTAATACCAACCACTTATAATGGACTTCAATTGTGATGCAATCGTGTAAATGTAGAGCCCCTCTAATCAAACAGATTTTTCCCAAAAAATAGAAACTTTTTTTGGGCATGCAAACATACACAACGCTTACCGCACACATACACATGGCTAACCACACACACATACATTTTGCTCACCCTACACACATATATGGTTAACCACACACGCATACATTTTGATAACCCTACACACATACACATGGCGAACCAAACACACACATTTTGCAAACCCTACTCACACACATGTCTAACCACACACATACACATGGCGTGCCACACACATACACATGGCTAACCACACACATACACCTGGCTAACCTCACACATACACATGGCTAACCACACACATACACATGCGGTACCACACACATACACATGGCTAACCACACACATACACATGGCGTACCACACACATACACATGGCGTACCACACACATACATATGGCTAACCGTACACTTACACATGTCTAGCCACACATTAAAACACAGGATGGGTATTTAATACAAAACTGCCGATCTTTGATTTTACTATCATTCTACATTTACACAGAAATCTGTATCGCTTCTCATTATAATCAGCCAATACGTCCTGGTGAACTGTCATGGTAAGTATTATTGTAATAAGATAATACGTCCAGGTGAGCTCTGAAGGTTAGCATTATTGTATTAAGCTAGTACGTCCCGATGATCTGTCAAGGGTGGTATTATTGTTATAAGATATTACGTCCAGGTTAGCTCTGATGTTAGTATTATTGTATTAAGCTATTACGTCCCGATGAACGGTCAAGGTAAGTATTTTTGTACCAAACTATGACTTCTATGTGAGTTGTCAAGGTAAGATTCATTCTAATAGAAAAATTGTGACAAATGTTAGTATGTCTTTTAAATGTTATATTTAAACATTCGCTCGACTTGTTAGAACGTGTCATTCAACTTGTTATACGTAGTCAAGTTTCTTGATTTAATTTGATTGTTGCCTTGTTTTAATTTGATGACGGCTTTGGTTCACCTTGATGTAAACATTTTTTTTAAACTTGATAAGGTACAACTTGATTTAGGCCTTAGTCTCACTACGAAGATGAATAAACTTTGCTCTAGGCTTTCGTTTAACTTTATTTAGGCATTGGTTTAACGTGATGTTTGCCTTTGTACAACTTGGTCCTGGTTAAACTTGATTTAGTCTTTTGGTCACCCTTTTGTAGACCTTTGTTTAACTTGATAAAGGTCTTGGTTCATTTTGATATAGGCCGTGTTTTAACTTGATGTTTTATAAGGGACATGGTTTAACTTGATGTAAGCCTTAGCTCAACTTGATGGAAGCTTTGGTATTTGTTCAACTAGATGTACGCATTTTGATTTTGCTAAATTCATTTCTTTTTCCGTCTGTATTGGTATTATTTATGAAAATTTATTCATTTTAAACTATTTCTTCGAAAGTTTCCAAAAAAAAAAGTTTTTTATTTAGTACATTATTGAAAGCCACAGTATAAAATGAATTATCGAAGGAATAATTCTCACAATATTAAATTACCAATCTTTGCCTTCTTCAGTACGAGCAGTTGTGTCTCTTTAGAAGTATCATTGATCTATTAGCTTTGCCTTCTTTAGTGTAAGCAGTTGTGTCTTTTTAGAAGTGTCTTTGAACCATTAGATTTGCCCTCTTTAATGTGAGCAGTTGTTTCTCTTTAGAAATGTCTTTGAACAATTAGCTTTGCATTCTTTAGGGTGATCAGTTGTGCCTCTTTAGAAGTGTCTTAGAACCGTTAGCTTTGCCTTCTTTAGTATGAGCAGTAGTGTCTCTTTAGAAGTGTCATTGAATCAATAGCTTTGCTTCCTTTAGTATGAGGAGTCGCGTCTCTTTAGAAGTGTCATTGAAACATTAGCTTTGCCTTCTTTAGTATGAGCAGTTGCGTCTCTTTAGAGAGTCATTGAACCATTAGCTTTTCCTTCTTCAGCATGAGCAGTTGTGTCTCTTTAGAAGTGTCATTGAACTATTAGCTTTGCCTTCTTTAGTATGAGCAGTTGCGTCTCTTTAGAATGGTATTTTAAAATAATCGAGCATGGTGTTTTAATGTAATAATAGATTGAAATATATGACGGACTTTGCCTAAAAAGGAAGCACGATTTCGCTTGCAATCAGCTGATCTGATTTATTTATTTACTACAATTAAGAGTTTTACAGAATGTTGGTTCAGGCGGATGTAGGGAAGTCAGCCTCTTAAATTTCCAGAGTATAACATGTCAATGTCACTGTCAATGTCAATGTTTGCTTGCGCAAAGATACGACGCTTTCGTTGCCCATAATGATCGGGCATTATTTAAAAATATTCATTTATTTAATGATTAATGTTATCAGTACTAACACTGTTTAAAAATAGTAACACAACTTCATTTCAGATCCCAATCCATGTGAAAGTAATAGATACGGCAATGTTCCGCACCCTAAGTCCTGTGCCAAGTATTATGATTGCTCTAATTACATGGGAAAAGAAAAAAACTGCCCCAGTGACAGACACTTTCACACCAAGGTACAAGTTAACTATAGAACATTTCAGCAGCCAGGTATGAGTTAATTATAGAACATTTCAGCGGCCAGGTATAAGTTAATTATAGAACATTTCAGCGGCCACGCTTGAGTTAATTATTGAACTTTTCAGCGGCCAGGTATGACTTAATTATAGAATATTTCAGCGGCCAGGTATGAGTTAATTATAAAACATTTCAACGGCCAGGTATGAGTTTATTATAAAACAATTCAGTGGCCAGGTATGAGTTTATTATAGAACAATTCAGCGGCCAGGTATGAGTTCATTATAGAACATTTCAGCGGCCAGGTATGAGTTAGTTATAGAACATTTCAAAGGCATGGTATGAGTTTATTATAGAAAAGTTTCAGCGGCCAGGTATGAGTTAATTACAGAACATTTCAGCTGCCAGGTATGAGTTAATTATAGAACAATTCAGCGGCCAGGTATGAGTTAATTATAAAACTTTTCAGCGGCCAGGTATGAGTTAATTATAGAACACTTCAGCGGCCAGGTATGAGTTAATTATAGGACATTTCATCGGTTAGGTTTGAGTTAATTATAGAACACTTCAGCGGCCAGGTATGAGTTAATTATAGAACATTTAAGCGCCCAGGTTTGAGTTAATTACAGATCACTTCAGCGGCCAGGTATGAGTTAATTATAGAAGTGGTATATTTACAAACACATCGGACGATTCACCATTTTTTACTTCAAGACCAGCAACATCCATCTATGTTAGCAATCATTTAGCTCTGCCTTTATGGCCGAATCCAACTATGTTAGCAATCATTTAGCTCTGCCTTTATGGCCGAATCCATCTATGTTAGCAATCATTTAGCTCTGCCTTTATGGCCGAATCCATCTATGTTAGCAATCATTTAGCTCTGCCTTTATGGCCAAATCCATCTATGTTAGCAATCATTTAGCTCTGCCTTAATGGCCGAATCCATCTATGTTAGCAATCATTTAGCTCTGCCTTTATGGCCAAATCCATCTATGTTAGCAATCATTTAGCTCTGCCTTAATGGCTGAATCCATCTATGTTAGCAATCATTTAGCTCTGCCTTTATGGCCGAATCCATCTATGTTAGCAATCATTTAGCTCTGCCTTTATGGCCAAATCCATCTATGTTAGTAATCATTTAGCTCTGCCTTTATGGCTGAATCCATCTATGTTAGAAATCATTTAGCTCTGCCTTTATGGCCAAATCCATTTATGTTAGTAATCATTTAGCTCTGCCTTTATGGCCGAATCCATCTATGTTAGCAATCGTTTAGCTCTGCCTTTATGGCCAAATCCATCTATGTTAGCAATCATTTAGCTCTGCCTTTAATTTTCTAAACTTTCCATATTCTCTCAAAAGGACTGCGTATTTTCAGCCTATCAAGAAAGAAACAATACATTTTCTAAAATGTTTTGAGTATATCACTAGTTATCTTCTAAATTATTCATACTGATTAATTTTTTTAAAGCTCCCCGTCTCTTATCTTCAACAAAAAAATATCCTTTGATAGGAAATATTGTTCATACCTTAAAAAAAAAAATTCGTACACACATTAGTTAGTAGAGCTTTGGTTTTATAAAAATGCCACGTTATTTGCCAAGTAATTTTCATGCAGCGACTAGACACTTTTTTTTTTCTTTGTCCAAATAGTCATAACTTTCATTTTCATTGAAATTAAAACGTATTTTTTTTTATTTTTCCTTCCATAACTATACGTTCTACATTTATCTACCACATGATCTTTTTTTAAATGAAGTTTTTATCTTATCTGCCCGTATTACATTTTCTCATTAGGCCAGGTACTGTGTCCCAATACATCAGTCCGATTGTGCCATAACAACAACTAGAAAAGGTATTGATTTTAATGATCTAAGCGATACTCATGCTTTTATAAAATTTTATATTACATGTATTTTTGAAACGAATTGTGACAATTTCCTTTTATTTACATGTATTTATCAAATGGTTTCTGATCACATTTCTAATTCACATGTAATTATAAAAGGTGATTAAAAAAAAATAATAAAAATAATGTGACTTTGTAAAATGTTTAGATTTATATAACATTCAAAAAAAAAATCTTTATTCAGATTTTAGATCTAGTTATCATATTTAGAAAACGCATAGAAGATACCAATGGCGCACAAAGTATTTTAAGACAATTTATTTTAGTTGAACCCTTTTTTTAAAAGAGTGAAAATGAGAAGGAAGCGTAAAGACGCTTATGACTAATTACAATTGTGTCAAGCACCAACTCAAAATAAGGTGCAGCTGTTCTGTTTTCCATTAACATACAGTTGAAATATCATTTGTTGAATTATTTTTCCTTTTCCAAGCTGAGACTCGCATAAAGTTGGCCTGATCTAATATTCAGTGTTAAATGGCTGATACGGAATCACACAAAAGGGATGTCTAATGAGAATTATTACCAGTATTATGTTAAGGAAGATGTTTAGCTTCTGTTATCATTTTACCCAAAGAGATTTCGATCTTTAGCAACCACACAAATCTTGTATATAATTTTTTTTAAATAATGCGAAAAAACAATGAAGCGAAGTCAACATTTGTAAAATTCAACATAAATTGAACACTTAAAAACAAGAGAAAGTCAGCAGATAATATCATTTTGAAAAGGTGAACTCGTTATTTCAAGATGGAATCAATTTCATTAAAATAATGAATACAAATATAATAAGTTTTTATTGAATGCACGTCATTTAAGGCATTTTATTACAACGATTGGGGTATTTAGAAAAAGTCTGAGGAGATTATACGAAATACTTTAGTAGGAATATAATAGAGCAGTGGTTCTTAACACATCTTCTTCTTTTTCTATATCTTAAGGGCCCACGATCAATTTATTGATCATTTTGGCTCGTATGGATGTAGATGGGATTTGCAATGTTTCTGTTCCTGGTGTTGATGAGGAAAGTTCACAGATTTTCAGTGCCAATTTGTGAGGGAATCATGCACTAAGGGTTTGAAGGCTTGAAGCAATAGACACAAATGTGTCTAGTGTTTTCGCCTCAACCGTTCCTTTTGAGAGATTGTTCCAGTCCCTGATTGTCTTGGGCAGGAATGAGCAGCTCCTATATTGGCTTCTTGCTGGTATGAGCCTGAATGGTCTGTCATTGCCTCGTTTCTGTCTATCGGGGAGAGGGACGAGTTTCTGTTTAATACTGGAACAGTGGACCAGCCTATTATTTATCCTGTACATCATGGAGATCCAGGATTGTCGTCGTCGTTTCTCCAATGTTGACCAGCCCAGTGTTTCCAGCATGCTGCCAACACTAGAGGAATTCCTGTAGCGGTTTAGGACAAAGCGTGCTGCTCGTCGCTGGACCGCCTCTAACCTGTCAATACTCTTCTGAATAAAATGAGTAAAACATAGTATGGTTAAACCTGAAAAAATAAACGCAACAAAACAGCGTACGTGTCGGCAGAAAGCCTTCGTCAGCGAACAAGACAACAGAAAAAACGGTATAAAAATAAGAAATAGCACTTAGCTGGTAAGTAGTATCTGTGGGCAGACTTCTATTGCTGCCCACAGATACTACTCACCAGCTAAGTGCTATTTCTTATTTTTATACCGTTTTTTCTGTTGTTTTGTTCGCTGACGAAGGCTTTTTGCCGACATTTCGCTGTTTTATTGCGTTTATTTTTTCAGGTTTAACCATACTCTGTTTTACTCATTTTATTTTGCACTAACCTGATTGCAGTCTCTCCCCTTATTACCCAATACTCTTCTGGGTATATTATGTGTGCGGTTAGTCATGTGTATGTATGTGGTTAGCCATGTGTATGTGTGTGGTTAGCCATGTGTATGTGTGTGGTTAGCCATGTGTATGTGTGTGGTTAGCCATGTGTATGTGTACGGCTTTTTAGACTCTGCGACACTCTCATGCGGTATTCTGACGACATGACCACAGTTCGATGGGTAACTGAAGGAAATTCTTAATGTTACAGTGTTTATTTGTATCTTATTTATACCATTTTTAGATATAATAAAAATAGTCATTAGTTTTAATGTGCAGTTTTCTTTTTGCGAGTATATTATCACTACACATTTAATAGATTTCAACAGCTAGTTTCTTATTGCCAGTAGACTGTGACTATATATTTGGACGTAATGTCGGACGCGTTTACGTCACATTTTCCCCCGTGCTGTCAATCTAGCAGACGCCGAGTTCGTATTGGGTGTGGCCTATTCCCTTTCATCTTGCCGTGTTCACTACCGCTACCAACTAAAAATAATTAATCTGCTCTCATAGTATTTTGTGGAAAGTTCGGGAGTGGACTAGAAAGATAAAACAATGTCTAAAGCGTTTCTGGAATACGTCTTACGATGCATATATAAGGGGTTTAGAGAAAACTAAGGGTCGGAGATTCAGATAGATATTTTTTCACTTCACAAGACATGTGTATTATTCTGTGTGTTCTCATATGTGTTAATTCACATTCATTATTGTACATTATTAATTGGCAAAATGTACTAACTGTGTTCCGGTACAAGACATATCCTACTCTGTAAGTCGATGATTTGTAATTGTATTTCTTTTCTTTTGTAATTATATTAATTCTTAAATAAATCGTATTAATTGCAATAGTGCTGGTTTAGGAGTCGTATTTTTCCTATTATATTCCTCTATGATATCGTCCTTCAATATGATATCGTCCTTTTTTTATGCACTGTTTGAACGAGCCATAAAATTAAAAAATAGAGATTGATTGAATCACTATAGAAGCAGTGTTTAACATGGCAGATGTCAACAACTAACTGCGTATTGCAAGTACACAATGACAAAACATTTGTTAGATATCATCATTTAGTTTCGTATTGCCAGCATACTATCAATAAACATTTGTTAGATATTATCATTTAGTTTCGTATTGCCAGTATACTATAAATAAACATTTGTTAGATATCATCTTTTAGTTTCGTATTGCAAGCATACTCTAAATAAAGATTTGTTAGAAGTCAACATGCAGCTTTTTTTCTTATAGCAATTTATAGGAATACTCATCCAGTGTCACCACTGCAAGGTACATTTATAAAAGGAAAATCAGCTGTTTTAAAAGTTGAGAGCCGCTAGACTAATTAAAATAAAAAAAGAGAGGAAAAAAAATATAGACAATGTGCATTACATTATTATAATTGTATGTTTTCACCATTTTGTTTTGAAGAAAATAATAACGCATGAATACGTAAAGGATATAACAATCATCGATAGGCAGCTCGATATTTACATGAGGAGAATTATATATATATTTTTTTTATAATTAATGTGTAAATAGTATTTACCTTAGACTCTATGAACTTGCAACAAACACTCTTTTTTTGTTGACATAATCAATAGACTTTAAAAGAACGTGTAAATAACAATAGTTTTTTAACTTAAAAATAGACTCTAGGAACTTGTAACTAAAAATCTTTATTTAAATGAATCAATAAACTCTTTCAACTTATAACTAACACTCTCTCTCTTTTTTTTTTTAACCTACTGAAAATATTCTAAAAACATGTAACTAAAAATCTTCCGCAGGAATCACAATTTTTAATTGAAAATCAAGTTTTACATTCAGTTCCCATTTTTTTTTTTTAAAAAAAAGTAAATATTATAAAAAATAGTTAAAATATGTTTCTTTATTGCTCAAAAATAAACATCAATTAATAAAAAGAACATAGTTTCTTGTACCTAAAATATATAGCACAGAAAATAGGAAAAATCGGAAAATTAGTTTTATAAATGAAGAAGGAATAGAAGAAATAAGATAACGTGAAGAGTCGGGAAAGAAATGTCTATTTAATCGTTTGGTTTGTACTAAGAGATGTCTATTTTATAACATGTGTGTAGTAAGAGATGTCTATTTTACAACTTGTTCGTACCAAGAGACGTCTATTTTATAGTATGTCTGTACTAAGAGAAGTCGATTAAATAACAGGATCCTACTGAACGATCTTTATTTCATCAAATATTTGTTCTGATGTGTATGTCTATTTTATAGTATGTTTGTACTAAGAGAAGTCTATTTAATAACAGGATCGTACTGAACGATCTTTATTTCATAAACTATTTGTTCTGATGTGTATGTCTATTTTGCAACATCTGTGCACTATTTGCATTATATCTCAAAATTTCTCCTCTCACAACCTCAGCTTTGTTTCTTCGACCTGGTGGACCCCGTGAGTAGTATTTACTTGAATTTTTAAATAAGTGACCTTCTTAGGATTTAGGACGATAAATAACCCCCCCCCCCCCCAAAAAAAAAAAAAAAAAAAAAAAAAAAAAAAATAAAAAAAAAAAAAAAAAAAAACAACAACAAAAAAAAAAAAAAAAAAAAAACAAAACATTGATCAGTCCCTTGTGTTTCTATTGAGACTTAAATTTTTGGGAAATCCCATCATATCAAATAGTTTATTCCTGGGTTTGTCAAGGAGTTCTTCTCATTGTGCTCTGCATTTAAACCAAGTCACAGCTTCAACGCCAGTATTTTGACTTGGTAACGAAATAATTCATTAGTTATTCACATATGCAAATCACTATTTCTTTGTCTGGGCAGGTTTGAAATGTTTCGCCTTCAAGTTGTCGATCTCTCTTTCGACCTAAAAATGACAACATAATAAACATAAAAAAAACAAAACAAAAAACAAAAAATGTTCTTATTTATAAAATTGCTAATTTTCTTGTATAAAATAATTTACTTTCAAAGCATGATTCTTTTTCATAAACAGCGTGTTACCCCAACCAGGCAAATATGGGGCTATTCAACAGATATGATCATTTGGGGAAAACGTACTACCTGTCTAAGGACACTTACACGACAGATAAGGCGTCTCATGAAATGTGTAAAACACTGTGCGGCTATCTGGCTGAGATAGATGATGAAGACGAATACGAGTACGCCGTCTCAATGATTGATAAGCACGATTACTACGGCGTACTTATCGCAGGGACGGATACGTACACCGAGGGCACCTGGGAGTATGAAAGGACCATGAAACGCGTCAACTACTTCAAATGGTGCCTGGGACTCGGAGAACCTAATAACTCCTTCGATCAAGACTGTATGGCCATCAGCAAAGAACACTCTTGTATGTTGGACCACCAGTGTCTTCACCAACATGATTATTACAGTTTTCGTTACTTGTGTGAAGTAGATTAGAAGCAGCTGATTTTTTGAAAAAAAAAGAAGTTGATAAATTCATTTGTCAATGTTTAGTTTCGAGATTGTAATCTTCATAAGAGCTTGCTTTTGTTATTGATTATTTTTTTTTTTCAAATCTAAATTTGTTTGAGCTCATCATGGGACTGCCACGTCAGACATCACAGCAGCTTTGGTCGTGAGACCAAGTTATTTTAAATAGTATTACTTAAATAGAATAATCTATAGAATGCTGTGACTTTTGTAAAAAAACACTTGAAAGTAACAACATACTTTCAAAACAATAAAAAAAAATATTTGATTGCAATAAACATAAATATGTAAAGCAAAATTAGAAAAATGCATTTGTTCTGTGCCACTTTCTACATATAAAGTTTGACTTATGTCATTCAGGAAGGCATGCAACGTTTCTAAACATAACTATTGTCTTTTGTCATTCGGAATTGGGGCCCCCCCCCCCCCCTGGGGAAATGTTACAAAGTATACCTTTTGACTTATTGTCATTCTGGATGGTTTGAAATTTTTCAAACTATAACTTTTGACTTATGTAATTCTCGAAATTGTGAATTGTTAAATTTCTGTCTTTCTAATAAACACATGATTTAGAAATCTTTAAATGTATTTGTGTCTTGTTTTTTTTTTTTTTTTTTTTTTTTTTTTTTTTTTTTTTTTTTTTGATATTTTTTTTTTTTTTTTTTTTTTTTTTTTTTTTTTTTTTTTTTTTTTTTTTTTTTTTTTTTTTTTTTTTTTTTTTTTTTTTTTTTTTTTTTTTTTTTTTTTAACTTTCTTTTTTTATGGTGTATGCACTTACAGTCCATAAATTTTGTTGCAATACTTTAATTAGCAATCTTTTCCTTCCTTGTGTCTATATTTAGTCCATAAATCTACACTGCTCACGGAGTCCATCAAGTATAAGAGCAGGTATGTTAAACGTGAGTAAATAGACAGGACAATAAGATTCGTACGATTCGGCTTAGAGCCTTTTTCTATCACATAAAACACATAGAACAATGACAAGTAACATAGTGCAGTAAAAAAATAAACGTTTGAGATTTCATTTGTCGTTACCGGAAGTCAGATTATGAGAAGGGAAAGAATATAAATAGTGGTAATGTAAAAACTAAAAATAAGGTAGACAGTCTTAACGTACCAAACATATTTAGGGATGCGTAAAATCTAAGGAATGAGAAAAAAAGAAGAATTACAGTAAAATTTGAGAACAAATTAGTAAGAGAGTATTAGATTAATACCGTATGGAGATTATGGGGCTGAAATGCTGAATAAATGTGTATTCCCCTTTAACTCTCTCGGGTGTGTCTGTTGAGGAAATTAGTGCCTCGATGGATAAATCAAACACGCCTTTATTTATTTATTTATTTAGACATTTTTATATAGCGCTTATCATAAAGCTCTAAGCGCTTTACAATTATTAAAAACATGTAAACTAAGTAAATACAAATGAGACACTAGGATAGTAACTACTATTCTATAGAAACAATGAAAATGGCTATAAAACGAGGACACTTTGACACTTCAGGATCAACCCGAAACAGAAAATGAGGTAGGGCGAGGAGGGTGCATCACAGGTCGTAGGCGGACCTTTAAGTTTGTCACGATTGAAGTGTGAAAACTGGAGAAAATTTCCCTTGTTCAATATCAGGAAGATGTTCAATGAAACTATCTGCAAATCTTCTCCCAGTTTTGCATATACAACTAGAATGACATCTACTGCACACATTAGCAAACTCAGAAGTCAAAAGAGAAAAAGAAAAAATTCAGCAGCAGGACGATTAATTTTTTTTTTTTTTTTGGAGCGCAATTTATTTTAAAGAAGCATGTTTTTCGGTGTCAAAACCGATTTGGGGTCGGCTGGCCGAGGTGCAATTGGGTCCATTAAGAGCCGCATGTGAGCCGTGATTTGACAACCACTGTCTGTAAAACATTAACAATATAACAGAGAATGAGTGTCCATTTTTGTTCATAGCATTGTTACACGGAATGACTGCCGACTTTAAGTCGTAGAAATATTATACTTGATGATTGTTAATTATAGGTCATTGAACTGTTACATTTAAAAAAAAATAATAATAATTTAGTCACGATCGCGAGGTTAGGCAAATTAAGTGGATGGTTTGTAAGACTCCGCTCAGAAGGCAGCCAAGGCCTCGAGGTTAGGCAAATTAAGTGGATGGTTTGTAAGACTCCGCTCAGAAGGCAGCCAAGGCCTCGAGGTTAGGCAAATTAAGTGGATGGTTTGTAAGACTCCGCTCAGAAGGCAGCCAAGGCCTCGAGGTTAGGCAAATTAAGTGGATGGTTTGTAAGACTCCGCTCAGAAGGCAGCCAAGGCCTCGAGGTTAGGCAAATTAAGTGGATGGTTTGTAAGACTCCGCTCAGAAGGCAGCCAAGGCCTCGAGGTTAGGCAAATTAAGTGGATGGTTTGTAAGACTCCGCTCAGAAGGCAGCCAAGGCCTCGAGGTTAGGCAAATTAAGTGGATGGTTTGTAAGACTCCGCTCAGAAGGCAGCCAAGGCCTCGAGATTAGGCAAATTAAGTGGATGGTTTGTAAGACTCCGCTCAGAAGGCAGCCAAGGCCTCGAGGTTAGGCAAATTAAGTGTACGGCTTGTTAGACTCTGCTCAGAATGCCGCCAAGGCCTCGAGGTCAGGCAATTTTAAGTGTACGGCTTTTTAGACACTGCTCAGAAGGCGCCAATGCCTTAAGGTCAGACAAAAGTAAGTGGATGCCTAGTTAGACTCTGCTCATAAGGCAATCAATGCCTCGATGTCAGAAAAATTCAGTGGACGGATTGTTCGACTCTGCTCTGAAAAAAAGGATCTTGTACATTTTTTGTTGTTGCATATTTGATTAATTTGAAACAAGAAGGAATACCTTTAATTTTTTCAAAAAAAAAAATATACATCACATTTGGTATTAAAGGTTTTGTACATCCTTAGTATGAAGCAAATGTTGACGTCATATTAAAACCTTTATAAGGAAAAAAGTGAAAACACAAATTTTGGACGAATATAAATAAGTAAGCAACAAAACACAGTACTTTTCAGCATGAAACTGACAAGTAAGTCAACAGTGATTCGACGTGACAATAAAGGATCGGAGAACAGATTTAACAATGCAATGAGAACAGGAAATTAATGCCACGTGGGGAAAAAGCTGCCTTGCGTTTGGATGAGTTTTATTGCATATGTTAAACCTGGCGGGGGTTATGTTGGTACAGGACACAATGGTAGTGATAGCCATGTCACCGGAGTCCATCTTGTCGATTCTGTTAAAGTGGTTTGAGATAAGAGAGTTTTTATTATGCGACATATTTCAAAAGTGTTCAGTACATCGGTTCTAAAAATTGCATTCCCGTCATAGAAATGTTTCAATGTTTTAAATAAGAAAAAAAGGTTTAAGTTCAGAAGAATTCAAATTCAGAAAAAAACAAAAAGAAAGGTCATTGAGTGAACTGTAAACTAGAATGTAAAGAAGTCTACCGTGAGGTCATAGTATAAACCCATAGATATGTTCATATACAACTTGAATAGCTGTTGAATATATTCCCTCGCTAAAAATAATAAAGCACATTTAAACTATTGTTATGTAATATATAACACTCTGTTATCAATAAACGTTCGGTAATCTAAAAATGTGTTCATGTCTTCCTTTACATTATTTATTGATTATTTCATATGCCTGCATTGCATTGTTCATATTCTGTAAAAAAAATCGTTCATATTTATGTATAATTTATTTATAGTCTGTTACACTATATATATATTTCTGGCTTCATTATTATAACCTATTTCAATTAAATTAATTTTGCATTAGTTCCACGCTTTCAATAAATATTCGTTGAACTATTTGAATCACTCAAGTTAAAAATACTTATTTTTGAAGTAAATTATTTGTGTCTTTAACCCTAGAAAATATTTAAGATAACTATGTTATCATTACGATATGGATCTAATCTTATACACAAAAGCATCCAATCAAAGCGTGGATGAGTCTTGGCAGCTGAACACTATGAATCTAATCTCATACAGATAGGCATTACATCACTGAGCTCATGAGCCTTAAGCTGCTGGACGATATTTGATGATTACCTGACATCGTTAAACACAATCCTAGGTTATCGTTTTGCAGAGCAATCAAAGAGCAGAGTTCTTTTTTTTTACATTAAATGACAGTTACATGGGGATTGAAGACGAATGAACATACATGTCTTGGTGGGAATTTAAGTATTCAGGCAAATAGTATGGTTGTATTAGTAGTATTCAGAACAATTTGATGGTATATTAGTAGTATTCAGGCAAATAGTATGGTTGTATTAGTAGTATTCAGAACAATTTGATGGTAGTATTAGTAGTATTCAGAACAATTCGATGGTAGTATTAGAAGTATTCAGAAAAATTTTATGGTAGTATTAGTAGTATTCAGAACAATTTGATGGTAGTATTAGTAGTATTCATAACAATTTTATGGTAGTATTGGTAGTATTTAGAACAATTTGATGGTAGTATTGATAGTATTCAGAACAATTTGATGGTAGTATTGGTAGTATTCAGAACAATTTGATGGTAGTATTGGTAGTATTCAGAACAATTTCATGGTAGTATTGGTAGTATTCAGAACAATTTGATGGTAGTATTGGTAGTGGTTCACCGCGCTTTGAGACTTTGGGACGGAAGCTTTATTTTTTAAACAATCTTGATTATTATTATTATTAGTATTCACACAAAAAGAATTGTTGTGTTTTTAGTACTTAGGCCAATATCATGGTTTTATTTGTAGTATTCACACAAACATAATTGTTGTATTAGTAGTATTCAGGCCAATGCAATGGTTATATTAGTATTGTTCAGTCCAATATAATTCTTGGACATGTAGAATTTAGTTTCATAAAAGGGTTGTATATGTTTTATTTATGCAAATATAATGGTTTCATATGCAGTATTCCTGCCCATATAATGTTAGTTACATAGTATTCATGTCAATATATTGTAGAATATGTATTATTCAGACCAATATAATTGTCGCTTATGTATAATTCAAGCTAATGTTATGGCTGTACATGACGTAGTCATGCAAATATAAATAATGTACAGGTAGTGTTTCAGGCAAATATCAGTACACTGCATTTAATGTTATTAGCTTTCAGAAATGTCTTCACCTACAATTGTATGATGAGCATTAAGTCCACTAACTCTTATATTAATAATTGAGAAAACTCTTCTTTAAATTTGGAAAGAAGGAAATATTTGAACTAAAATTTGGTGAAACGTGATGGAAGAAGTAACAAACAAGTAAAATGTGGGTAAGTAGACTTCTTCAGGTAACTTACAGCGTGTAAAACAAAGGAATGCATGCATTTAAAATTAAATGAACTATAATAACCGAGAAAGCTTCATTTAGTTATGTTGAAAACAAGTTTACATTATAATAAATG